TTATTGATTCTCTAGCTGTAAATGTCGTATCGAAATTATAGTTAGTGAGCTCAAATGTCGAGAAGTCTTTTTGTTCCAATCCAGGTTTGTATGAGATATGGATAAATAATTATTGTAATTACTAGAAAACGAATGATTCTAATGATCCAGGAGATTAGTCTATAAAGTATCTATTTAGAATTGAAGAGAGATACTAATTTTCTGAAATAAAGAAGTTCTTATGGGGTGAAAGTAAAATCAGGTGTTACTTAGTGGGTCAATTTACATCTCGAAATAATCAAAGGAGAGAGTTTCACGAGCGTGTATGTCATTCGTTAAAGGCGAAGAAATTAATAATCATATAACAGCGCGATCGCGGAAGGGGGATCGGAAGGGTAAGAAGAGTTGAGCAGACACTTCCTCGGCAACACCGGCCAATTAGTTCGGCAGATGCGTTAAATCTGTCGTGTACGGGCTGTTAAAGAGATACTCTCGCGTTTTGCTCAACTCGCGTGAGTACGGCAAGAACGCGTCGTCGACAAAACCAATAATCATGCGCCAACAGCATTACTAATGCAGAGAAACGTAAAGAACCGTCTGCTTGTTTCTGTAACTGTCCTCACTTGTGTTTTTCACATAGAAATATGGAAGTGTAGAAATTCCTATTGTAAAACAGTATGTTACTTATAGATATACAGGATGTTTGCCAACTAACAACAAAATTTAAAGGGATGGTTCTAGAAACCAAAATAACAAGCAGTCTAGACTAACAAAATTCTGTCCCTTTTTATTTATAAACGATGAATTGCACGTTGCTTAGGCAAACTTGCTTATCGCTCGTGGCTCTCCGATGCAGCATGCATTTAAAACTCTAAATTCTAACATAAACATTACATTATCGTTCTGTTGAGCATGTTGCATTTTTTCGATCACTACTGGTCAAAGGAACCTCACCGTGCAGGCAATGGTCCCCGAAGTACAAGGCGCCCAACTTAACAGGAACAGCTATGAAGCACATTAGCATTTAAACTGTTAAATATATGTTCTATCTGACTTAGTACTGACAGGGATAATAATTTTTAATCGCATAAAAGTAAAAAATAAAGCCTCAGGCTTTAACTTTGATTTTTTCTTTATTTTGGCTTCTAAAATCATCCCTTAAAATGTTTCTCACCAGTAGCCGAACACCTTGCAGATTTGTGATCTCCGATTTCATCTTTATTCGCTTGAATTTTTAAGAGAACTCCATCTAGTTATAACTACGTAATTTCTGTGAAATTCGTGAACTTCGAAGAATGCAATTTCCAGTACAAACGTCGTAAATAAATTACCTCTAAATTTTCAAACAGTCAGGTCGAGACGAATCTCATGCGGCGAGGAAACAACAAAACGTGACATGACAAAGAGTCGAGCAGTTCCAGAGTGACATATGGACGCATAAACGCATAAGTATATTTAAGATCCTATAATTCCTCCGTGGATGCATGGCGAGCAATTTATGCAGCGTGCCCGAAAGAATAAGGAAACAAATGACAAAGGAAGCGTACGAAAGGGTGTGCAACTGTTATTCTCAATAAAGGGATTATCCTGCGCCACTTTCTTGGTACCTTGCTCCGTGGCCCACGCACGAGATTTACGCAAGGTGCTTTGCCTACGCGTATGCGTCCTACCGTACTATTTCGAAGCCAATTTACGGATTCCGTTCTGTCACCTTCTGCACCACGGACATGCCTATACGTCGCTCTCGACCCTTCTATTCCTCTCAACGGTCGTAGAAACGACGAAAGCGTCCGTTTCTCACTTGTGCGTGGCACGCGACTTTACGGTGACACAAGACGCCATTAAACGAGTCGCGAGATACTCGCCACGAAATCAATTTTCGTCTGGTTAAAATTATAACTTAAACAATTTTATTACATACTGCAGACGCAGCTTAATAATGTAAAAAAAAAATCAATTCCGCTGTCCTTTCCTTGCGTCCAATTCAAGAAATAATCGAGCACTCAGGACAGAAGCATGTCGTATGAGCAAATGAAAATCAATTCGCGAGAGAGCAGTACGATTGATAGTTTCGATGAGTACGATCGATTCGTAATTGATGTTCGTTGTATCCATTATACAGCTAGGCTATCGCAACTGTCGCGTCAGACGTTTCTCGAGAAACGAGAGCCAGTCTCGATCAATTCTATCCCGTCCTAAAAATTAATTCCGCTACGCGATGCATTGGACATCGGAGTGTCCTCGGTATTGCGTAACGCTGGCTGCCACGGAGTCGTTCTCGCGAATCGCAGTCGTCTGCAAATATCTACCATGTCTGTGAGTGGAACAGAGAGAGGGAAAGGGGCGGAGAGCATGGTTCGTCCGTTACACAGGCTGTCGCGATCCAGTGACAGAAACTAATACTCCTATTCGGCGCACACGACTGACGAAGAGCTCGGACTAATCTGCCGCGGGGGGATTAGCGCAGAGAGCTATTATCGAATAATTTAGGCGTCGCGGGTACGACGACAGGTGTTACTTCACGATCGTTTCGCCTCTCGTTGACGATTTCAGAATTGCGAAACTTATTATCATTCTACAACGAGTTTACAATTTTTTAATGTCACTGCATTATACATATTTAACTGAATTAAATGTTTGAGAATTAGGAGAGATTTTAACATCAGTTTTCACATTTTTTTATTAAGTGAGTCACCCGAATGATCTTACGTAAAGATCGATCGACTCTGGTGGGTCGACGATAGTCTGTGAATGCACCTTTCAGAATGCACTCTGAGGGTGAAATAGTGAGCCAAAGGTTCTTTTTCCACTTTTTTCTTCAATGCTATTAATAAAGTCATTAACGAAGAAAGTGGCCCAGTGGCGTGTCCGAGACGAATTCTCACAAAGTGAAAGACGGACGGGCCGGGGCTTCGCGTTACTGGTTCTGGCTAAGGCTCCGCATCAGCATCAGTAGTTGTTAAGTAGACAATACACTTTTAAGACATTATTCAGTGCGAAAACTGTTCATTTTACATAATGAATTCCAATTATCAATTTTTAATACAACATTCAGTTCAATATACTTTGGTAAAGTTTAAGTTCATCGAACATTATTCATGAACAACCTCCATTTTTCGTGTTGGCATGGCAATCGAATGTGAGTACACAAAAACGCATAAAGTGAAAATCTACTCGTACACCTCGTCTTTAGTTATATTTGGCGGAATATTTCACGGGGGTTGTCGTATATCTATTTCAATTATACACGCATCATTATTATTATTATTATTAGCTTTGTACAGAATACATGTTAAATATATTAGTTTAAAGATCCTTGGATGTATAACTTAAAATTGATTATAACGGAAAGTATATCTCATAATAACTGAGAGATTATTCTTTGAGATCTTAGAATTGTATAGTTAAAAATTCGTTTTTTATAAAAGCGTTTGAATATTATATTTCATCCTATATTTACGTGTATGCGGAATGGTGCGAAACAAGTTGAAACGCAAACTTATGTCACCGGTTGACTAATATTCCTACTCGTTACGCATAACTGACAGGAAGTCTCTAGGTAATCCGACTTGAGGATTAGCGAAGAGTTATTGTTGAACAAATAATTTTGGCGCGGCTGGAACTGTAACAGTCTTTGCATTCTCGAGGGACTTGAAACAAATAAGTTTGCATTTACGTGTAAAATACATGCAATTCCTATTTTATAAATTGACATAAAGTATAGAAATAAGATTGATATAAAGTATAGAAGAAAATATCCAATTAATTATAGACGTACATACAAAAGTTGTAGCTATTGACATGCTCTACACGAAAGGTTTTATGTATTTTTCTTCTAATTTGAGTATTTGACGAGTTAAGTATGATTATGTGGCCTTTTATTAGCATTGACGAAATCCGACCATTCCACCGTCGAATCAGCAAACTTTTGGCGAAAAATTTCGTTTTTCCTCAATGACTCCTAAACCGTTTGATCTACGAGAAAATTGCATAGGACCATTCTGAACTAAACAATCTGACCCTCTTCGAGTAGTTTGGTAGATTAGTTTACCAAATGACCTGTACAGAAAATTGTAAAAGAATTAACTTCAATTATTGACTATTCATTCGATCCTCATTGTCATACAAGGTTTACGAATAATGCTGTGGTTGCTACGAACGTTGAACTATTGAGCAAATCCGCCATTCAGCCTGCTGTACAAATAGAATAGAAGGATCATGTAATCATTTCTACGTATCGATCCACTCTTACGAGAGCCAGAGGCAAGACATACAATAAGTTGTACGGAATGTATTCTAATGATTTTCTTGAAACATCGTTCAACGTACATACGTACAAACAGTTAAATTCACGAGAGAGCGTATCTCCTACATTCTACGTGATGCAGTGTTACTCGGCCGCCCGCAGGTGTAGCCTGCCGTCCAATTAGCTACAGGTTGATGATTTTGCCAGGCATACTTCATGGATCCGCTAATTCTAACTTACCCACGACTGAGATTGGCGAGTTAAATTGCATCGAGCTCGCGAACGTTTGTAAATTTACGGTACATACGTTTATCTCAGAATTCACCTAT